ATAACCAGCAAATGATTTTGCCAGAGGGTTGATCAAAAAAGTTATAAAATGTTTTTCCAGGGAAGAAAAAACTTTCTGTTTAAAAATTTCTCTTTAAATATAATTGACATTTCTAAATATGACTGACACTAGGAAGTTTGTAAAAATCCCCGTGCTAAGAGGCTGGGGAACAGGAATTTGGTGTGTTTGAGAGGCTGTATGCAAGAAGGATGCAGCGCTGCAAGCTCGGCAGCGCGGCTTTGCCAATGTGTCTAGACAGCCCATCTCCATGGGGGAGAGGGAGGCTTATTTCTTGGACCCGCTCCATCCACGGCTGCTCCGATGAGACCAGACCGCTTACGCTCTCCGTTATCGATGGAGACTTTGCCATCCAACCTTTGGGGTTGTGCGGGGCTTGCTCAGCCTTCATCACATGGTGACCGGGTCGTCTGCGTGAGCAGTGGTGGGTGGGATGGGGCGGCTGGAGCTGGGGGGACGGGGCGCAGCACAGGCGCGTGGTCCTGCTTCTCCAGCTTGGGTGAGCCATCAGATCTTCTGCTGGTTTTGAGATGCTCCTCTGCTAGGTGAGGATGTGCCTAGCCTGGCGGTGAATGTGATTCGTTAGCTAGAGCCTTTAAAAAGGCTTAAATTCTATTAAACTGTACTGGAACAGCAGCGATCGTCTGCTAGCCCTGCGCCAGGACGAAAGCAGCGCTTTGCGGCTGAGAGACCCTGCGTCTCCATACAGGTCCCCTAAATTGTCTGATCCTCCAGGTTAGGGTAGCTGACATTTCAGCCAGATTAAGGAAAGCAATGAGCAGATATCTGATAATATATTCATCACCTGGAGGCAAAGATTATTACTCTGTGTTAAGGAGTGTGGTTTTCACCATATCCCTCGTTTGCCCCAGTTCACAGGAGCTCTGACGGTCATTATTCTGCCTCTGCTGGGAGCTGTGCTTTTCAAACTGCAGTGAACTTCATGGAAATACAGAGGTTTCCATTTTTCAGCCTTTTGATTTAAAATCTCTAGATGATTGTTCGACTCTGGCAGGGAACCATTCAAAATACATTCCAAAATATTCATCATTCCAGCAGGCTAAGAAACATAAGACGTAGCAATTTATTAGCTAATGTGAAATGCATTCACCGTCCAGAAGAGGCTGAGGATGGAGGTGGATCTGAGCCTGATTTCCCTTCGCATCCCACAGAGCCGGGGCGTGGAGCACGCCGGAGCCCGTGGTCCATCCCATCCGCCCTCCTGTTTTGCTGAACGTCCCCGTGTCCAGCAAAAAGCCCTCAGAGCCCAGCAGCAGCCTTGTCCCTCTTCCCTGTTCCCTGGCCTTAGAAGAGCAGGTTTCGCTGTGGACCTGGAAAGCAGAAAGAGTTGGTTTGAAATGGCTCTACGCACTCTAATCCCTTTTGCCTCCCGTAGCCATGCGGGGCGTAAAGGTTCTTTATCCCCCACCCGAGGAGTGCGCTCCCGGTCGGGATGCTCAGCCCTTGGAAGAGGCAGGTGGGCTGGATGGTGACAGCCAGGCTCAAGTTCTGTTATTTCTGGACCTCGGATGCCATCATTTTTCCAGTTGTGATCAAGAGGGACCCATAAAATGCATTAGTGGTCAAAGTCTGGATTTCTAAGAAAAGCCCGATGGCAGTGGCGGTGCGATTTGGTTGAACCACATTTGTTCTTGGATGCTGATGAAAGGGAAGCGCAGCCTTTGGAGAGCTGGTTTCGATGTTCTCGCCGTCGTTTGCGCTTCCCCTTCTCCCGGCCTGCGGCGCGCCTTAGTCCCGGCACGGTCATTCCGTGCCGTGCCGTTTGCAGTCCTGGATATTTCAGCAATAACCAGATGAAATATCCATTGAGAACAGTGTTTCTGCCTACCAGTGGGGCCAGCTGGCGTGCTCATCCCACCGGTCTGTCTGCTCACACAGGTCCCACGTACCAAAAAAACACGTCCAAGTGAATTGCCAGATCCAGTCAGGATGGGGCTGTTTAATAATGGCACTTCTCAGCAGCACGGTGGTCCTCCGTGGGGACCCCGACAAGCGGAGACGTTCGTGAAGCCGGTCAGCTTGAGTCAGTCTTTCCTGCTGCAGGGGGGGAGATCGCTGGGTAACGTTTGGAGGCTTTTGTGGCTGCTACAGCATTTGGAAATGAGCCAGCTGAAAGGCCCAAAATGCCAAGTGGTTCATCTGCAACGTATATACGGAATGAAAAAAAATCCCCCCTTGAAGCAGCCCCTTTCTGCCCTGGCAAAACAGTGTTTCTTTTTTTTTTTTTTTCTTTCTTTTTTTACACTTATCATCTTCTTGCAAAAATATCTCTAATTTTCCCTATTAGAAAACTTCTAGCTGAAGTTCATGAGGATTTTTTTGCCACCTTTTTTAAAATACAAAAAAAAAATTAATAAAAGTAGCGTTGCCTGGAGTTCAGGTGGGTATGCAGTGGGAGGGAGACCACAGGATCCCCGATTCGTGGCTTCTGGCAGGGGCTGCCTTTTACATGAGTACTAACAGGGAGGCTCAACCTTCTGAATCTGTAGCCATCAGAAGAGTGTGGAAGTGGTCTCAGGAGCTACTCTGAGGGCTGGAGAGACCTTGAAAAGACTGAGGGGTAGCATCCCGAAAGGCTGGAGCACCTGCACTCAGTATGGCCAGCCTTGTGCCCCTGGCTCCAGCACATCCCATTAACCCCTTGCCCAAGCACTCAGCACCGCATCGTTTTTGCTCTCTCCCAAGGACTCCTTCCTGTGGAAGGAATCAAAATCCACCCCACGCTTTGTCCCTGCCATGCGGGAGTCTCCCTAACTCGTTCTGTGTTTTGTTGTTAAAGTCTTGTCCCAGCAGCTTGGCATCAAAGGGCGTCCTGGTCCCTGAAATGTGGTTGATGTCCAGCTGTAGGTCTGTGGGTCACCTTGGTGTGTGAAGAGAAAGGGGACAGCAGGTAAATCCAACAGGGAAGCGGGTGGAAATAATACTGTGTGCCTTTTGTAACCCTATGGAGCTCACTGATGAGGGATACGAGTGTGGAAAATAGATTAATAAGCTGTCCTTGCCTAATTGGTATGATGGTTCATTGCCACTGTCTTGGAGGCAGCTGGTGGTATCCAGGTGGATGTGGATATTGGCCTTGCTGGTGCACCAGTCTGCTCCTGCATGGGAAGTCCTCGTTACGCGGTCAAGCTAAGAGCAGTGTTGACTCTTAAGAAGAATACCCTTGGCTGTTGTGCTGGTTTGGATGTACACCACATGCACACTGGTGTTGAGAGGGGCGGCGTTACACAACTTGGCTTTTCAAGCTTTTGCAGAAAGGACAAGAAAGGGTGCCGGAGAGGAGAAAGACGTTATCTGGAATTAACTAGGTCTGGGAGGGGACCAAGAGCGTAGAGAGGCGGCTTTGGAAATGAGAAAATACCGATGGAGCAGGGCGGAGGTTAGGAGGTTTGATCTTGGCTGCCTGAATGCCGTTCCTAAGATGAAACATCAGGACACATGGCATGGGAAGGGGAGCTGATGGGAAGAGGATGTGGGCGTTGGAAGTCTCTTGCAAAGACGTGATTTGACATGGGTTCAGCACTGCCAAACGCAACGATCCCGGGTCCTACCCAAGAATAAGGAGGGGGCTGCGGAGGCTGAGGTGCTCCAACTCTCTAGGGAAGGTCTGGTGGTCATACTGGCACCAGCAGCTGGACATCATCGCAGCCGAGTGCTGCGCTGCGATGCGCAGACTTGTTTTATATACAGTAGCTTTGGGTACGGTGGTGGGGTTTGGCTGGTGGAGCTGTGTGATTGCATTTCTGCTCCTCTGTTATGGGTCCGATGGTTTTGTGGCATCGGGCTACCCTGATGAGGGACTCTGGGGGGACTGCAGCCCCCTTGGATCCTGTCGTGTGTGTCCCCCCCAGGGCTGGTAAAACCACCCCGCTGGATCACCGCCACGGTCTGGTGGTTTGGTCTCTTTGTCAGTTACAAAGTGCAGTCTCACAGAACATGATTTGCTGCTGGCAGGCTTTTAAAATATGTGTTTGCTTTTGATTATATTTTTTTTAAATTAATTTTCCAAGGATCAATGTGGTAATGCATATAAAAATTACAATATGTAAAACAAAGTATAAAAGCATACAAGGAATTCCAAACACATAACATACTGTGCCTGGGAGCTTATGAGATCCATACAGTGCTTATTGTATTATGGGAACACTCTGACCCCAAGACCCGGCGGAAAGGCTTGTTAGAAGAGCAGGACTAAACCATGTGCCTTACGAGCTGTAGGATGCCCAGAAGGAAAACCCTAGCGAATACAAAAGCAGAGCTGTTACAGCAGAACTCAGACTGGTCTGTGGGATCTAGGGGGACTTTCAGTGGCTTTGTACCAATTTCTGAAGGAGTACGTATAATTTTGCCCCCGCAAATATTATTCTCCCAGTAATTAACACTTAACATCATGTCTTTCCAGGGAGACTCTCTGGATTTCCATTGGATCGTGATTACTTTTTTTTTTTTTCCCCTGAACATCATGTCTGCTGTCAACTCCCAACAAGCAGGAAAGTTGACGTGGTTAGGGAGGACACACAGCTGCTATAACTGCCCATGTGCTCTGCAGGTTCCCACCAGATGAGAGGCAGAGCACCAGAGCTGAAATCACCCTGAAAAGGAGTTTTGCCTTACATTGGCCGTAGGAGAGGGCTCTTAGCTGCTATGGAGGAGCTCCTGCTGCCCTGCCTGTGGGTCAGGAGCTGAACAGGTTGCGGTTGCAGGAGGACCTGATCCCCAGCTCTGCAGACCCCCAAAATGCAGAGCAGAGCAAGGAGGATGCCTCAGCACTCAGGTCCCTGCAGCACCCAGCGAGTCAGGGTGAAGACTGTTTGCATGCCAGAAACAAGTCTGCAGGAGCTCAGAGGTGTCCACAGGCTCTCCACCGCGAAGGTGACAACCCTAGGACCTCATTCTTGGTGGGAAGGAGTCAGCGGCTGGTGCTGTGCCTTGAAACCCACCTGGAAATGTCTATTTTGACCATGGCGCAGGCAGGAGGTCCCTCTGCTCAAGCGCTGGTCCTGGTGGAGGACAGCGAGGGTTTCACCACCGGCCCCGGTGAAGCCGTGGTGGTGCAGGACCTCAGTGAGTTCCCCTAGTCTGGCAGGCAGAGCCGAGTGCAACAGGAGACCGTAGGCATGCTGGCCATGCAAAAGCTATTCACAGCTCTGTAATGATATGTAATTGTTTGTATGCGGTCAGCTAAAAATTACCCTGATAGGTTCCACATTGCAGACACTTCGGAGGGGAACTGCCATAGTCCTGTGGGTGACGCTGAAAATACGCGCACTTTTCCATTTAATATTAAAATGCGGGGTTTGTATGAAAAATTCAATATTGCCTTTCTGAAGTTCCATGCTTGTGCACAAAATAACTTATTTTTTATGTGCAGAGATTGAACTGCGTTAGTTTACAAGATAATCGAAAGCAAAGGCTTTTCAAAAGAAACATAGCGTCTGTTTCTTTGTGTTCTTCCTTTTGTTTTTTCTGTGTTCCTGGTGATCTTAACAACATTGGAGCATCAGATACTTGAATTTTCTGTTGAATTGACATAATTTGAGGTCTTGGGCACAGATGGTGCAGAAAAAACCCCAAACAAATAAACTGCAAAGGTTAGAGAAAAGCTCATCCGGTGTTGCGTAATGGGAGAAAAATGAGAGGTAAAAAATCTCCGTAGTCTGACCTGTAATCACAAATACCAAGCTGCTGTTGTTGCGGCTGAACAGCTGGGCTTGATGTTGCTGCTCATCAGGGCTGGCTTCAGTATGAGACTTAATACGCGTCTCCTACCTTAGCATACTTAGTTTTCTTTTAAGTGTCGTCTTCATTCCGTATTGCCTACATTTGTGATGTCTGGTGTAGGGTAATTATAACTTCTCTGTGTAGCATTTGTGTACCCTGAAGTTAAACCTTATTTGCATTTGAAAATACTTTTCATGCATGGAAATATGTCTAAACCAGAGTTTGTGCTCTCCTGGGAGCTTTTAGAGAGATACCTCGGGCAGCTCTAAGCACAGAATCTTATCCGCCTGGGTCCCCTTGCTCCTCTTCGGTCCCTGCTCGCGTCTGGCGAAGACGACGGATGCTGCTGGGCAATGGGCTCCTGCTGCCCGGAGGAGCAGGGTCCGTCCAGGCGATGCTCGGGAAGGGAAGCTGCAAACCCAGCCGTGGACCTGGCTGTCCAGCCTGGTCAAAGGCATGGAAAAGAAGCTGAAGGAAAACAGAGACGCGAGGCTTTTTCCTGTTTTCTGCCAAAGCGATGTTTTCAGGCTGGAAAGTGGCTTTTCGGATTGAGATCGGCTCGTTTAGGGTGAACCTTGCTCTGTGCAGGCTTGGCGCCGAGCGCTGTTGCTGCTGATCTCCAGCATCCCGCACGAGTGGGAAATCGCTTGAGACCCGTCTCAGATCGCTTGGGGCAGGGCTTTGTAATCAGGTGGGCTTTGTGTGTCCCCGTGCCTGCTTCCCACTCTCCTTGCTGGCACCTTGTTTTGGCTTTCTTTAAACGTTTTGAGTTTGGGTTTTGCTTTTTGTTTTATAATGAATCGAAAGCAAAGCAGAGCACGGGTGAACGTGAGCCTGCAAAGGGCGGTAACTTTGGGGATAGGAGTCTGCCCAGAGCCAGGAGGGATCCGCAGAAATATTTCTGCTCAGGCTTCTGAGACTTTTACTTTAAATCCAATAAAAAAAAATTCTTCTCCCTTCTATTCTCCTTTTTCCGTTCTTTCCCCACCACTCTGAATAAAACTTTTTTTTTCTTTTTTTTTGGCTTGCAGGGCTTATTTTTATTTAAAAGATTTTTTAGTTTCTAGATTCCCTCCCCCCCGTGAAATAATTTGTTTTGTTTTTTCTTTAATTTTAATCCATGTTCAGACTTCAGCAGTAACAACTTATTTGGAAGGCTGTGATTATAGCGTGATTCCTTATTCTCTTCCTGGAATCCTTTCTCAGTTTACAGTTTATGTAACTGAAGTGACAAATCTTTCCTGCCTTACCGTATACGATACTGCGGTTAAATGTCTCTGTCCCTCACTTAATTAAATCCAATTGTTTGTTTTCGATTCGGATGCAATTAGTGTACTATAGTAGCTGGTTCTGGTCTTAATAGAACTGGTCAAAACTTGTCAAAACTGCCCACACAATGTAAATCCCATCTGGAAATTAGTTTTTGTTCTGACCTGAAATGAAAACAAGTATGCACAAGTATTGCTACAAACGGGAAATCCAAGATATGTTGCGGTTGCAAGTGTTGGTTGAAAAAAATACCCATCTTGTAACTTCTATCTAGGCATTTAGTTCTCCACTCTGTTTTGCTTTGTATCACATTGTGTTTTCAGTGTGGCATCCCAACAGGAGCTGTCTGATGGTACCCCAGCGACAGCCACAGACGTTCGGGCAGCCGCTCGGCAGGAAGGAGCAAAGATCAGAGTGTCCTCAAACGTGGATCTGCCTTGTTGCACAAGGAGACACGATGAGCAAGGGAAAAAAAAGAGTAGGACGTTTCATACCGTGTCACTGAGGAGCAATTAAAAATGCTTTGGTGCGTCCTAGAAGTGCATTTGTGTATGACACCAGGATTTGCATGTCGTGGGTGAATGTAGAAATAACACAGAAAAACACAAATGTGGAAACCGGAAACAAAACCCCCCTGGCCAACATGAAAGGTTGGGATTTGGAAATGAAATTCCCAGATTTTCCAGCGTCGGGTTCCTGAGAGGAGAACGTGCGTTTCGGTCTCTCTGGGGGATGCAGTTGCAAGCAGCTCAGCTTTTGAGAACGCTGCTTGTAATAAAATTTCTGATTACAAGAATGTTGATGAAAGACTTCTGACCCATCTAAAAAGCTTGAGAGCTCTTTTCCTCTTCTCTCTGTTTCTGCTGACGCCAGTCCCTAGTGCTGTCAACACTATTTAGGAATACCATTTTTCAGTGTTCAGCGTTGTTTCCTGATAAAGAAATAATGGCAGAAAGGGAAAAAAAAAAATACTGTGCTGACACGTTGAAGGCAGCCGGTGACTGCTGTGAGCAAGGTGACATTTGCAGACACCTGGGGTTTAGGTGTCTGCAATCCCTCGTTAGCGGTTTTTAATCAGCATATGACATGTCTGCATGGCAAAATGCAGGGAGTGATCAACACAGCGGTCCTCTGGGCTGATACGGATGTTATTAATTTTTTTTTCTGCTACCCACGTAACTCCTGTAGACATTTGGATCTAGCTTCGCTGTGCTGTTCCAGAGGTGCAGTGAAAGGAGATCTCAAAATCCCATCCCCTCTGTGGCACAGGTTATGCTTTGCTGTCGAGCCATCTCCATCCGGCTTCATCCTGGAAAAGGGGTGACTCACGTCCCCGCTCCATGCCAGGCGATGCTGGAGGTGCGTTGGCCAACGGTGACCTGGCCATGAGTCACTGCGACGCGGCCGCTGCCCGCGACGCTCCGTTCCTTGGCCCTGCTATTTTTGGGTCCGGTAATTCCGAGGTGAGCTGTGAATCACCGGATTCTCGCTTAGCGTCGGGAGGAAACCAGGCAAATTGTGTTGAAGTGCTTGGCAGGAGGGGTTCTTGTTCTCCGGCGTTTTACAGGCTTTGGCCCTTCTTCTTGCTCCCCAGAGCGATGTGCTCACCCTTCCTGATGTGTAACGGTCACGCAGGATCTGAGCAATGGCCAGACAGCCTTGGGCTCGGGCTCCTTCCAGCCGGGTGTCGTCTTCGGGGCAGGAACTGATGCTTCAAAGGCCTGGAAGGTATTCCCAAGGGGTCTCGGAGGCTTTTACTGATTTGTTCATCCAGTCCGCGTCGGCAGGGTTTAGATTAGAAAACATCATTGAATGGAGAAGTCAGAAGGGGGACAGGCACCCGTGTTGACGTTGGCCTCGACGGCAGCTGGTGTTGCAATGTTTCTGCCGTTCAAAGGGACAATCGTGCCCCGAGGCTTGTTCTGCTGTCGGTTGTGTGGTGTGGTGCATGGCAGCACAACTATGTTGAAGCTCGCCAGTAGAGGCTGGGGGAAATCGCCAATCGTTTTTATAAAGGCTTTGATGATGATTCAGGAGAGAAACGTGCAGGACTTCCCTGCTTCTCCAGATGGGATGGGCCCCATGATGGTGCTACACCCCGCAGCAGGTGGAAACGTGTGCATGGTGTTCTGCGCAAGCAGCGATGAAATCCCATCCCTCTGCTTCGCCGCTTCGCTTCCCACCGCCTGACCGGGACAGATTCACCTGTAGCCTTCTTTCAATGCCCCAGGATTCCTATGCGCGTTTGTTTTTTTCTCACACATTGCTGCTTCTGCCAGTCCCTTCCCAGCTCAGCTTTACGATTCAACGTGCCTCTTCAGAACTGATCTCCAAACGCTTCTGCTCAGATGCATGGAAACCGAGGACATATTTTTGCACCTAGGAATCCCCAGGCTGGAAAGGAGTCCGCTGGGGATGCTCAGGCTGTTGGAGAAGGACTGGGGACAGAGGAGCTGTAAACCTGTAGGAATATGAAAAAACTAATTTAAGAGGAATGTCCTTTTGTTCCCAAATGGATGGGCCTCGCTCCAAAGGCGTTCAGGTGCAGTAACTGTTACCAGATGGGCTGTGAAAAGCAACACAAGCAGGTGGTGAGGACAACCACCGTAGACTTTAATTTCCTTGGCAGCTTTTCCCTGTGCCTTACACACCCCCTGGAGAACAGGAGGATGAGGGGAGCTGTCATATTTCTATATGACAAAGGGAATGACCACCAAGGGGATATTCTGCAACTCTATATAGCAGGTCAAGCGCTTGGACTCTCAGTGGTGAGAGTGTCATCCAGGCCAAGGTGTGCAGTGATTAACTTAAAATATAATTCACTAGCACATTCATTTTTATAGATATGACGATCAGTGTATTTTAATACATGCTGACATGTGTATTGGCTGAGATCCTCCCAGGTGTAACTACTGTTCTTCCACGTGAGACGGCGGGACCACACTGACATTGCCCACCTGGGTGTGCTCAGCAGCGTTGAAGGCTGGGGCTGCAGGAGCCTTGGTGATTTTGATGGGGCCCCACGTGTACGGGGGCACTTGAAGAAGGGTGAGTGCGAGGTGATGGCGTACCAGTCCTGCAGCCAAACGGGGCTCTTCTACGGAGGCAGCGGTGGCCTCCGGCTGCTGCCTTGCTCTCCGCTCCCTCCTCTGTGGCTTCCCACGGTAACTGGAGCATTTGCTGCCCTGTGACTGGTGTGATGAGGAGTGAACATACTTCGGTACGGGTAGGGTTGAAGCAAAACCGGTGCCGTCGCCACCAGCTTGTCTTTGAATGCTTGAAGAGCGTTCAGCTCTTCAGAAGAGCATTGAAACCCCTGGAGCCGTTGCTCGCTGCTTGCCAGTACCTGCGAGTGCCCATGCGTTGGCAGCTCCATCGCTGCTGCGACGTTGGCGTATGCACTGGAACAAGGAGAGATGGTGCAGAGCAGATATTTGCATAGAAAAACCATTTCATAGGTAGCGCTGACGTTGCTCCAGTGACCCTAGGCACAGGCAGTAGTGATAAGTGTGACTCCAGGTGTATGGATGTATTTATTTATTGCTGGAATAAATACAAACCAGGCACAAAACAATAGTGCTTTTATGGGACGTACAGTTTGTGCTCACCACCTTACTGGTCTGGGCAAGGCAAGGAGGGTGCTGGAGAGTGCACAACTGTTCTTCAGTCAACGGTGTCCAGCTTGCTTATGCTCAGTCTCTCTCTTACTGGGTTTTTGCTTCCTAGCTGCAGCGCTATCCATGTCCATCTGACTGTATTTCCGTGTCCTTGGCTTGCAAGCATACAAGTGAAACTGGTTTTTGTGTTTGTCTTTTGTTCAGGCCCCTATCAGTCACGCTTCATTTCCACTGTCTGACACCTCTTTGTTCACAGCTCCCCATTTCTGCCCAAATTGACGCCTCTCAGTCTGGATGCGAGGACGATAAGAGAATGCAGTCCTCATTTAAGCCAAATGGAGTTATGTACAGAGAACAGCATTACCTTGACTGTAGTCAAGCTCAGAATAACAGCTGTTTCCTTGTGCTTTCCTTACGCAGAGATGGGCACACCTTCTCGTGGTCAGTAAGAGCTGGCGCAGGACTTGTGCTCACCCCAGAGGGCTGTGTCATGTCTCGGTGAGGGCAGTCCTTGGAGATCTGAAGTCAAGACAACCGGGGTCGGTGATTCTCTGTGGTCAGAAAAGGTCTCAAGGATTGTCAGGAATGGGGAGATGCATTTTGGACTTTTTTCTTTTTAGAGACAAGGAAGCTGAGGCACGGGGTAGCTTAAGAGAGCTGCTACAAGTCTTACACAGTTGAGCTGGGAAACAAATGCTTGGGATCCGTGCGTTTCAACCTCCGTTGTACATGAGGACTAACACAATGCGGTTAATGTGTGGTGTTGAAATTGTACAAGTCCATTCCTAAGTCCTTTCCATCTTGAAACCGTTGCAATTATTCACCCCATTGCTGTGGGCTTTTAGCTTTCTAGCCTTTCACACCTCCAATTGTCTCTCCTAGATGATCAGCTGAACTCAGAAGAGAAGAAGAAAAGAAAGCAGAGAAGGAACAGAACTACCTTCAACAGCAGCCAGCTCCAGGCATTAGAGAGGGTCTTTGAGAGGACACACTACCCTGATGCCTTTGTACGGGAAGACCTTGCACGCAGAGTCAACCTCACTGAAGCCAGAGTTCAGGTAATCACCTCAGCTTGTATCCAGGCACACCTCACCTAGGAGGGTCATCAGGCCATTCCAGTATGGCAGTAGAAATCCTGCGTGGCACACTAGGGTCACCAAGCTTCTGGGTCATGCTGTATTGCAGTTCCAAGCGTTCCATACTTTGAGGAGGACTGCCAGGCCTGATCTGCCACCATACTTACCACCTGCCCGGTCAGATGCGTTCATATGGTTTGTTCCATGCCAGGATGCTGGATGTCCTGTGCTCAGGCTGCTCACATTATCTTGAGCTGCTCAGCTCCTGGCTCGCAAGCCTGCACCTTCTGAAGGTCAAAGCAGACCATGGAACATGCTGTGTTGTACAGCACTCCCAGGCCTTGCTGCCTTCAGCATGCAACGGACCTGGTAGCACAAGGATCTCACTGCGCCAATTCCTCGCACGAGGGCTTTACCAGGCAGACATGAGGATTGTCTTGTCAGTAGAGTTTCCAGTGACAGGCATGCCAAAGCAGCCTGCTTTTACAGAGTCCTGTCTTGCCCGGCAGGGCGGAGGTGGTGTGGTGAAAGGGTGAGTGTTGCAGCAGAGCTGGTTGTGATGGTTGGTGGGTCTGTGTGCTTCCCACCCCAGGTGTGGTTCCAGAACCGGAGAGCCAAGTTTCGCCGAAACGAGAGGGCGATGCTGGCCAGCAAGAATGCCTCTCTGCTCAAATCCTACTCAGGGGATGTGACGGCCGTGGAGCAGCCCATAGTACCTCGCCCAGCTCCGAGACCCACCGACTATCTCTCCTGGGGTACCGCCTCGCCTTACAGGTGAGTGAATAACCCCTCTGGGGCTGACCAGTTTCTGGCATAGTGTAGAGCAGCCCGAGAGTGGCCCTTAGAGAGCTCTAATGGGCTATTTGTATTTGGGTGGGACAACTGGAACATACAGCAGTATGACCACCCCACTGGGTTTCCTTACCTGTTCCCATCCCACCCTATCTCACCGCCAGGCTTCCAAGGTGGGCTTGGTTCATCATCATTGTGGCTTTTTGGTCCATGGGGGGTTGCGGCTTCTTTTTTTGGTGGTCTCTGCAATTCAGGAAGCTTTGAAAGAGGATCAGGGAGAAATACGTGGAAACAGAAGGGATTGCATTTGCTTCCCTAGTGCATCCAGTTTAAAGCAATGAAGAAACCTTTCCACTGGGGATGGATCCAGGGGAGGCGATGGCAGAGCACTTGGGGAGGCTCAGGCACTGCGCAGTGGCCAGAAGAGGGAGTTCTGTGGCTGTCCCATGGCAGTCACTGGTTGGGACGCAAGGAAGGGCTAGGAACTCACACCGTGTGTGTTGCTTCCAGGCCTCCCCTCTGTGGTCAACAGTGAACTGGGGAGCAATTTCTAGCTGCTAGAGCACAAGCGTGTGTGTGAACAAGCTGTGCCGTTATGCGGTGCTGTGATTTGCCCCCAGTAAGGACCAGGTGTCTCTGGGTGGCAGACTGGTGCCCAAAGGCCATCTCCCATGGCCAGTGCTGCTAAAGGGGTGGCAGGACAGAAGTACAGATGTGGCAGCCCCAGTATGCTCAAAGGATCTGGGATGTCCATGCCTGTCACAGGCCTTGCTGTCCTCTGTGCTGTCCACAGCCCGGCAGGTGCTGGGTGTGGACACAGGTTCCACAGGATGTGTTGGTTTGCGGGGAGCCAGCTGGCTTGTAGGCAGTTAAAAATGAGTTTGGTGGGTATTTTTTAGCACAGTGGCTTCAGTGTTGGTCAGGACCTTCGAGCATTTGGCTGGATTTCTGCCTGCTCATCTGGCTTGGTCACAGCCAGCTTCCCACTGGCTTCCAGGAGCCACACCATGCCCAGGACCTCTCTTCCTCAGTCACCTTAAACCCCTTCTTGCACTGCAAACATTGTTTGCACAGTTGGGTCTGGAAACACATGGCCTTCCTGACAGTTTGTTGCTTCAGTGCCATGGAGTCCCCATCATCCACCCTGTAGTTCCAGAAGAATAAGTCATAGGTTCACCAGCTTCAGATACTGAAAAGGATGCTTCTGATTACCAACACTTTGGTCTTAGAGATGGCCCTTATCCTTTGGATTTTGTGTGAGGATTGCTGTCTGGCAAAATCCGCCTTTTGGGGTTAAGGCTTTCTCTCTGTGAAGTGCTCGTTGGTTTGGCATCCTAGGGAGGTGTTGAGTTCAGGGGAGAGAAGCACAGGTCCTTCCCCACCGCGCTGAGACTGCTCTAGTCACAGTACCAGATCCCTGCTGAACACTAAAAGGGCTTCATAACGGCTTCTAGGAGAAGACCCTGCAAAGGTAACTTCTAGGGGCACACTGGGAAGGGCTGTCTGGGGCCACAATGGGCAATGAGAAGCCCAAGGCATTTGGAGTGTGCAAATGAGGAGAGCAAGGGAGAAGGGAAAGCGTTAGGGATGGTTTTTCTCCCCCTGAGGTCCACACCTGGCTGTGCCTTTCCATGATGTGAAGATGTGTCTTCACTGTCTTGATATCTTCCCCTTGTCTTAAGCCAAGGTGTTTCAGCAAAGACATTTGCAGCTTACAGCTGTCCCCTCTGGCTGACAGGCCAAACCAGGACAGAATGTCACTGCTCTGCAGTGGGGTAGGAGGCATTGGCAGAGGAGCAGAGCAGGCAGTTTCCACAATGTGGGGCAGCCAAGACCCGCAGACGCTTTACAGTCCCCGGGCTTTCTAATCCTACAGGTCATCTCTTAGCAATCACATTCATCTTAGTGGGCACCTGGGCCAGGTTGTCACATCCTCATTAAGGCTTTTAACAGAGTAGGGTTCTTAAAAGTATGGGACACTTGGTGAAAAACAGCTGTATGGAGTGTTTGCATGGCCCTCTGCCCCCTCCCCATCTCCTCAGTGCTGCTGTATGAGCCCCTGATTAACAGCTGGTCCAGGAGAGGGCTGAGAGCTGCACGGCCGATGTGGTTTTCACTCTTAGATCTGGGGAAAGTTTTCAATCACTGTGTTTATTCTCCAAATACATTCAGCCACAGGTCAACCAAAGCTATTTGCAGATCTGCGTCACATAGATAGCCAAGTAGAAACTATTATTTTTTTGAAGTTGAAATGTTTTGCCTAGACGTTTTTTAGCATAGGTTCCTAAGAAAACAGGACTAGCAGTCTCTCTGTCAGCCTGCACTTCCCACTCCAGCAACCTTTGACTCCACGGGCCATTGAAAACCATATTTGAAAGAAGGATTTTAGGTCTCAGAACCATGATGTTCCTTTGTGTTCCATGAAAGCAGGCAGATGAGTAGAGGAAGGAGACTATTTTTGTGCCTGAATGGGCAGCAGGGTGACTTCAACCCTTACTAGATCCTAGAGAGTCTCTGGACCAACCCTTCAAGCTGTACTGGTGTTTGGAGACAGCCTTCTTGGGTGCTGGTCTTTGTGGAATAAATTGCTAAAAGAGAGCATTTCTGTAGATTTTTGGTTTAGCATAGATTTCATTGGGCAACAGTAATTTTCCCTGCACCTCTGGGGAGTGGAGAGCAGGAGGCACCCCAGGGTTTTAGACTAGACTTGGGCAGCAGTTATATATGGGTTTTGAATGGGGACAGTTTACACGCAAGAGTGGAAAATCCTGTTTTATCTAAGCTAGAGCATCCTTGAGGCTCTTATTTTTTCCAGCAGAAAACCAGTGGGGGAGGTGCACCCTGTGGAAATGAGTGGGAAGGGGTGCTTCAGTGGCCATCACCTATAGACTCTGCAAAACTTGGCAACGCCTCTGCAAGCAGTGCCGGCTTCTTGCATTGCTTCTGAACTTACGGTGGAGAGGGCAAAATCGCCAGCCCAAAGTCATAAAAAAATCATAGAATCATAGAATCATTAAGGTTGGAAAAGACCTCTAAGATCATCAAGTCCAACCATCACCCCAACACCACCACGCCTACTAAACCATATTCCGAAGTGCCACATCTACTCATTTTTTGAACATCTCCAGGGATGGGGACTCCCCCACTTCCATGGGCAGCCTGTTCCAATGCTTGACCACTTTTTTGGTAAAGAAATTTTGCCTAGTATCCAATCTAAATCTCCCCTGATGCAACTGGAGACCATTTCCGCTCATCCTATCACTAGGTGTTTGGGAGAAGAGACTGACACCCACCTCACTGCAACCTCCTTACAGGTAGCTGTAGAGAGCAATAAGGTCCCCCCTCAGCCTCCTCTTCTCCACACTGAACAGCCCCAGCTCCCTCAGCCGCTCCTCATCAGACTTGTTCTCCAGACCCTTCACCACCTTCATTGCCCTTTCCTGGACACGCTTCAGCACCTCAATGTCCTTCTTGTAGTGAGGGGCCCAAACCTGAACACAGTACTCGAGGTGCGGCCTCACCAGTGCTGAGCACAGGGGCACGATCCCCTCCCTACTCCTGCTGGCCACACCGTTCCTGATAAAAGCCAGGATGCCGTTGGCCTTCTTGGCCACCTGGGCACACTGCTGGCTCATGTTCAGCCGACTGTCGACCAATACCCCCAGGTCCTTTTCCACCGGTCAGCTTTCCAGCCACTCTTCCCCCAGAGAGGGAATGGGGGGCGAACGGCCGGCCGGGTAAGGTGCCAGGCACACAAAGGATAAGTCTGTATTTTTAAGGATATACCTGTATTTTGATGTGTGCATTTTAATGTCCATCCTCCGTATCCTTCCAGTAGCTGTTAGAGACTTGCAAAGTGTCCTGAATGTTTGTTCTGCTGGCGAAAGTTTTCATGGTTTTTGCTGGGTGTAAGCAGCTGTATATCCACGAGTCTTACCTGTCATTTCCCTGGGTGTAAGCTGTCATGTTTCCACCAGTGCTGACAGTTCCTCCATGGGGAAGTTCTTTTCCCTGATTTTAAAGTGAGTCAACAAGGGCAAGTGCAGGGTCCTGCATCTGGGGAGGGACAACCCCATGCACCAGTACAGGCTTGGGGTGGACCTGCTGAAGAGCAGCTCTGTGGAGAGGGACCTGGGAGTGCTGGTGGACAACAGGTTGACCGTGAGCCAGCAGTGTGCCCTGGCTGCCAAGAAGGCTAATGGGATCCTGGGATGCATTAGGAGGAGTGTGGCCAGCAGGTCGAGGGAGGTTCTCCTTCCCCTCTACACTGCCCTAGTGAGGCCCCATCTGGAGTACTGTGTCCAGTTCTGGCCTCCCCACTTCAAGAAAGATGAGGAGGTGCTGGAGAGAGTCCAGCAGAGGGCTACAAGGATGGTGAGGGGTCTGGAGCATCTCTCCTACGAGGAGAGGCTGAGCAAGCTGGGCTTGTTCAGCCTGAAGAAGAGAAGGCTGCGAGGGGACCTTATAAATGCTTATAAATATCTGCAGGGTGGGTGTCAGGAGGATGGGGCCAAACTCTTCAGTGGTGCCCAGCGACAGGACAAGGGGCAACGGGCACAAACTGAAGCAGAGGATGTTCCATCTGAACCTGAGGAAGAGCTTCTTCACTCTGAGGGTGACGGAGCACTGGCACAGGCTGCCCAGGGAGGTTGTGGAGTCTCCTTCTCTGGAGATATTCAAGACCCACCTGGACAAGGTGCTGTGCAGCCTGCTCTAGGTGACCCTGCTTTGGCAGGGGTGTTGGACTGGGTGACCCACAGAGGTCCTTTCCAACCCCAAACATTCTGTGATTCTGTGAATCATTTGGCCTGGGATGGAACCTACTAGTATTGCCTGGTCTGGATCTCTTGGAAGCCTGAGGATTCAGACAGCGCTGAATTGCATTTAAAAAATGCCCACCTCCCTCAAGGGAGATTTGCTGTCGCAAAGGCTCTTCCAATCATGGAGGTCGGCACTGGAAGGAAAAAAAGGAAAAGAAAAAAAAAAGGAAAAAAGCAACCTATCTTATTTCTTGAGCTGTGGGTGGAGGAGAGCGTTTCCCAGAGTCTCAGACATGAGCCGCTTGGGCGGGCGGTTGGAAAGGGTCGGCACCAGACCTGAGCTTGCCTGCTGGAGAATGTTTGTGGTTTCCTCCTGAACATGCTGGCTGCATTCAATGGGTGTCTCCAGTCCGCACAGTGTTTTTCAACTGGTTTTGATCTGTGGACCCACATGTAGGAAATGCCACATGTCAGATAGTTTGCTCTTTTTCAGGGTGGAGGGGTTGCTTTTCACAGAAGCCTGGGACACATGGGTTAAACAAGTTTTCTAGCAGTCTGGAAAGCAGATTTGCAGATTTTTGGTAGGATGAGAAAGGGCTCGGAGATCTTTGTTCAGCCTTCGCTGACAAAAGTAGTGTTCTTCATGAATAAAGACATGATTTGAAGGGAGAAAAAATGTTTTGGTTTTTTCCTATTCAGCCTTGAAGGTATGCACTCTACGATCAGCTGAAGTTTTGAAGGGAAAAAATGTGGATTTTTTCATTCCAAGTGGCTGAAACCAAAAAGCATTACAAATGTTGAAATGGGTTTTTCCCGGAATGTTTCTTTAACATGTGTTTCAGAAGTGACGTCATTTCATAAGCAATAAAACCAGCAATTGCTCTCATCAAAAAGACTTTGCTTCCAGTGGGAAGATTTTCAAGGACAATGGTCTAACTGGCAGGCTGGGCACCCTGACCTCAGTGTAAAACTTTTGGGTTAGAAAATAGGAAATGGAAATGTTCCTGTTCACTTCAACCGGCTGTGGTGTTGGCTGTCCCTGGGTAAGTGAGCTGCAGCGGAGATATTTACAGGGATGTTAAATAAAAAGTGGTGTAATTCCCAGCTCACACAAGAAATACATCCCACGTGTACGGAAACCCCAGGGTTTAACCTCGCTGCAGTGCGTGTCTGCTCTCCACGTGGTGTGAAGACCACGTCTGATGTGATGTTTCTCTCTTTCCATCTCACAGTGCCATGGCCACCTACTCCGCCACGTGTACCAACGCCAGCCCGGCGCAGGGCATGAACATGGCCAACAGTATTGCCAACCTGAGACTGAAGGCAAAGGAATATAGTTTACAGAGGAATCAAGTGCCCACAGTCAATTAACGACTGGAGGCAGCTGCCTTGCAGAAGGAGAAAATGCAACAGCACCCGTCCTGCTTCGCAACTTGTTTGTGCTGAAAGAAAAAAAAAACACAAAACAAAAAAAAAAAACCAAACCAAAAAAAAAAAACCAAAAAAAAAAAAAAAAAAAAAACAAAAAAAACCAA